TGAGCGTCACATGGGGGTAAACCTAAGCTACGCAAAACGTATTAATAATCAAATTAACTATTAATATAAATTATGTTTTCCGAGGACTATGAAAAAGGTCCTCGGAAGGTGTGTATGTCCTCGGAAGTAGGTATATATCTGTATTTTTGTCCTCGCAACATATAGCAATCCAAACACACACACACACACACACACACACACACACACACACACATACTTGTATTGCAATATGTTCCGAGGACTTCATTGGATTAACTTTTAATATAGTTGAATTAACTTTTAATATAGTTGCGATATGAACTCGATTAAAACGCGTTCCTATATAGGGTTGCGTTTTAATTGGAGTTTAATTAAACTCAATTACAATGCAATACAATGGAGAATTGCATTTTAATTAGGTTTAATTAAACAAGAGTTGAATATCCCGTGACTGAACATAGAAATGTTTGGAAGCTTAGGTTTAGTATCCGGGTAAGGTATGGTACAATTATATTAATATTAATATAACGTGAACCATACCTTCCCCCGATACTAAAGCTAAGCTACGCAAAACGTAATAATAATCGAATTAACTATTAATATAAATTATGTTTTCCGAGGACTATGAAAAAGGTCCTCGGAAGGTGTGTATGTCCTCGGAAGTAGCTATATATATGTATTTTTGTCCTCGCAACATATAGCAATCCAAGTACACACACGCACACACATGTGCACACACATGCGCACACACATGTGCGCGTGCAGATAAATAGATGTATAAACAAACGATTCAGAGACAAACGATTCCAAGCACACCAACCCAAACCAGAAATATTCATATGATAGAAGCAGTTAATGAGGCTAATTGTTAACCATACTTGGTAATACTTACCTTTGTAGCTAAATCTAGAATGATACGTATATATATTATACTCATTCCAGGGCACTTGAATCATGAATTTTTTATTGAAAGGCGATGGATATCCAAGATAATTTCCACGTGGTGGCATGATAACAGTCAAATCGTGCTTTTCTGAGAACCGTAGTAAGATATTTTGAACCGTACTGCTACTACATTTATGCATTTTCAACAATGCAATGTTGTATTTCAGTTTGCATGTTTGCGGTTGTTGTGCTAACTCAATCGCCCCATTTGTCTTCTGTTCTGCTTCTTTCTGATTCTGTTCATTGTGTAGCTCTTCTTTCTGCTCCTGCTCTTCCTCTTCCTGAGCTGGATTTTTTTCATCCTTTTCCTCTAGGCTCTGTTTTTTTTCTGCAATTTGCAGCTGTTCCTTTTGTTGTTGCACCTCCTGAAGCGATTTTGTCTGTTGCTCTTCCTCTTGATGTTTCTTATCTTGTTCTTCTTTTAGTACGTCCTCCTCTGTTAGTTCATGCAACTGTTCCAGTCTCATGTCCTTGTCTATCTGGCTGTTATTCTGGAACGGTTCACTTTTAGTCACATTCTTTGACTGAATAAAAAAAAAGTAAACAATTGAATTAGTGACCCATATGTCTTTATATTTATATAATAGATCATTTCATTACCAAAGGCCATTAACCAAAATAGAACACAAAACATATTGACTGCTACATGTATAAGTGAAATAAAACAAACAACTAATACAATGTATATACTGTAAAACATGTTGTTTTTGCGAGCATATCATTTTTTAGCGAGAACTGATTCGCTAATTCAAGATGTCGCTAATGACGTTATTATAAATTCAAAATGGCCAAGACATGGTGATTTGTATACAGTAATCCGGAACATAAAAATCTAGGGCGCTTCATAATTACACTTGACAGTTTTTCTTTGTTTTTATGGAGGTGATAACTGCACATTTGTTTTGACACGTGACAGACAAGTATTGTGAAAACAGGGAATCAACAATGACAAGAGAGATTCGCTAAATCAACATTTCGCTATTATGTCATTTTACCACAATTTGCGAAAATTGTATGTCGTTTTTTCAACATGTTTTACAGTATACGTACAGTTAATAATTGATACAAGACTTTTGATAACCAATTGCCACAAATCACTACAAATTCATTATCATTGGTAGAGGAGTGGAAGCCCTGCTACAAAATGATTTGCAAAGATGTCAAATCTATTTGCCAAGATAGTTGAGTGGAATACAAAATGTTATGTAATATTAAACAGCTCTGAAGCAGGTCAGCCATTTTGAATTAGAACTTGAAAGAAATGTACAAAAGAATATGTGTGACATGAGGCAATTAGTTTAAAGCATGTTCAAGATATGGATCTAAAACAGCAGTCTTTAAAACAAAGTGACACAAAGACAGCTACTGTGGAATACTTTATTTTCGCTGGAATTAATTTTCGCTGAAAAGGCTTTTTGGGCGTTTTGTATGGAATTTATTTTCACTGGTTTTTGATGAGTTTGATGTGAAATATAGAAAAAAAAGTATATTCGCTGGATTTTATTTTCACGGAATTATCCCTTCAGCGAAAATAAATACCAAGCGAAAATAAAGTATTCTACAGTATTACCAGTACATGTACACATCAGGTTTTAAAACAGGAATCAAAGTACATACCAAGTTTGAATTAATTCTGTCCAGAAATGGCAGAAATACTGGGTTTTGGATACATTTTAAGTGTTAAAGAAGCACCATTTTAAGAGTGAGAATGAAGAGGATATTGCATTAGGTGTCTGAACACCATCAGTGGTTGACCAAAAATGATAAAAAAAAGCTATTTGAGTCATTGTAAGGCATGAGTAATAATCAGCCAGAGTTTTGTATGAGTCTGAGTCATTGATGCTACTCTGGTTGTAATCATCGATGTACTTACAGTATTGTCCCTTATAGCTGATACTGATTTGGTGACATTGTTTGCTGTCAATCCATGCAAAATATATGATACTCCTCCACTAGAAATAAAAAAAAACATGACTCGATAATTGAAACAATTAATCACAAACAAATTACAAAATTCATGTCAATGAGTTTGAAACAAAGCCAGGCAAGAGAGTTCAAAACAAAACAAAAGTAAGTATCTAACATTTTCCTGCATACATTTATGTACATGTTACATGATAAATACATATAGCTTAAGGAGGTTAAGGGACGACGTCAAAAGATCGATGTCGGATAAAAAACTTATCTTCTTTAGTTTGGGGGTGGGGGGTTTTGACCTCAAAAACTTTCCATCCTACAAAAACGATTTTATTTTTTAATGAAGTCAAAAAAATCTTGGAGTATTTGTAAGCTCGTTTTTTTTCTATCCAATCATGGACAGAAATAACCGAAAAGGGAAAAAACAGAAAAATGGTTTGGTTTGAGTGTAAATCTGTGCGTCAAATGAGGTGCATTTGTAAAATCTTTTTACACCCACCCGACAACGAACTGCTATGCAATACTACTGGAATACTAATGGTGAATGTAGTCTGACGCCATGACCAATATTTATCAATTAAGTTTCAGTGGGGGGTAGGGGGGTTTTTGGAAAAAAACTAAAGGAATTCACTTTTTTATCCGACATCGATCTTTTGATGTCGTCCCTAAGGAAGTCATACTTTCAAAGATATTAGTTTATACCAGCAAAATACAGAAAAAATAAAAACAAAATTGGGGTCATCAGATGGTTTTTTGAGATACAAGAATACAAAATGAAAAAATTGTCAAAATTGTCATTTTTACATTAGTTTATATAGTGAGATTATTTATTCATATCTCTAAATGTTGCTAGGTGATAATGGATGAAAAAACTAATATGAAATGTAACATTGTGAAATCAAAAAATTACATAATTTAGTGAGTTTCCATGGTGATACTAGTTTTTTATTAAATACAATGTGCAATGAAAGGTTATCTCCCATAATGCATTGCATATACAAATATATGTGCTGCAACATGCTCAGTAATGCAAAATTTGAATTCAGTTCAAACTCACAAGACTTAAGGTTATTACCTAATACAAGTTGGTAAGAAATCTTACAGGGTAGCTACCGTATTACCCCGGGGCACACACCCCTCCCTGGGCAAGCGCCCACCCCCTGTTTTCACAAAATTTACATTTTTAGCCAAGAACGGGGTCAATAATAAAGTTTTATTTGTCAAAAACGAACAAGTTTGATTTATTTAAATAGTGTGTTTGTTACAGTAGTTCTCTTTTTGGAGTGTGTGGTGGCCCTGAAAAGGGCCGCTTTGTTTGTGTTTTTACGTAAAAACTCATTGGAACTTAACGACGTAAGATGAACCACGCAGCATGTGGCGCACACTTTCTGCTTTCTCTTCATTCACGATGAATCCAATATTGCAATATTGCAACGATCCATACCTTGGTGAGTGGTTTGAAGCACTTTGGTTTCAAAACGTAGCACTTCGCTGACTGTGAATCCATAACGGGAGCTAGCACTTTTGAGACATCACGTCGTAAACTTGCTACTTTCTTTTCATCCTTCATCACAGCTATGGCATTACGATCATGTGGATTATTTTTCTGTCATTGAAGAAAAAACATTTTGCCGACCTCAAGTCCATTACGATAACCATAATGAGGCATGCCGACGATGGGAACTTGTTGCATCATCGTTATTTTTGTAATTTTGTCACGTGTGTGGGTGCG